CGGCCCCGGTGAGGCTGAGACGGCCCCGGTGAGGTTGAATTGGCCCCAGTGAGTTCGAGACGGCATCAGTGAGGTCGAGACGGCCCCAGTGAGGTCGCAACGGCCCCGGTGAGGTTGCGACTGCCCCGGTGAGGTTGCAACTGCCCCGGTGAGGATGAAACGGCCCCGGTGAGGCTGAGACGGCCCCAATGAGGCTGACACGGCCCCAGTGAGGTTGAATCTGCCCCGGTGAGGCTGTGACGGCCCCGGTGAGGCTGAGACGGCCCCGGTGAGGCTGAGACGGCCCCGGTGAGGCTGAGACGGCCCCGGTGAGGCTGAGACGGCCCCGGTGAGGCTGAGACGGCCCCGGTGAGGCTGAGACGGCCCCGGTGAGGCTGAGACGGCCCCGGTGAGGCTGAGACGGCCCCGGTGAGGCTGAGACGGCCCCGGTGAGGCTGAGACGGCCCCGGTGAGGCTGAGACGGCCCCGGTGAGGCTGAGACGGCCCCGGTGAGGCTGAGACGGCCCCGGTGAGGCTGAGACGGCCCCGGTGAGGCTGAGACGGCCCCGGTGAGGCTGAGACGGCCCCGGTGAGGCTGAGACGGCCCCGGTGAGGCTGAGACGGCCCCGGTGAGGCTGAGACGGCCCCAATGAGGCTGACACGGCCCCAGTGAGGTTGAAACGGCCCCTGTGAGGTTGAGGCGGACCCTGTGAAGCTGAGGTGGCCCCGGTGAGGTTGAATTGGCCCCGGTGAGTTCGAGACGGCACCAGTGAGGTCGAAATGACACTGGTGAGGTCAAGGCGGCCCTGGTGAGCTTGCAACAGCCCTGGTGAGCTTGCAATGGCCCCAGTGAAGGTGAAACAGCCCTGGTGAGGTTGAAACGGCCCCTGTGAGGCTGAGACAGCCCCTGTGAGGCTGAGACAGCCCTTGTGAGGCTGGGACGGCCCCTGTGAGACTGAGACAGCCCCTGGGAAGCTGAGAAAAATACATGATCTCACTCATTTATGGATAATAAGGGCCATTATAGACTGATGAACAAAAATGGATACAGAGGCAGAGCAGCATTGAGCAGAATGTCAAACTACAGTGGGAACCCTGTGGAGGGTTGGGGAGGGG